AGTTATAAAATCAAAACTACAACAGTGTGCTACAACCGCTTAAACGTCCGAACACTAAATGTTTGAGGCTTGGTTTGTGAAGGTCTGTATTTCTCAAATTTTTGACCCAACAAGACAGAGTTTCGTCAAACGTGTTTACGTTAAAAACATGCATCTCTATATATTTCTTTTTGCAGTAAATCGTCGTGTATGGTATTATTTAGAAGACTATCATTTATTATCTTTGTTTCTGCACATTTCGTTATTTGCCTACAGATCTATAAGGTGAGCACACAACTTTTTCTGGCATACCCCGCGGTCCGGTGTTTCACACTGCTTAACAGCAAACAAGAAAGCACGTTCTGCAGACTCAACAGATGGCGTATTTCCGAGTATCGTCCTCCCGTGTCGATCTCAAGCGGTTGTGGAAACCTCATACAGTCGTATTCATTGATGACAATAATAAACATTTTATTACTGCCTGCAGACTTGGCAACATAAATAACGGGCCGATCAACCTAAAAATATACATCATAAGTAAGTGCGCCCCCAAATTATCTTAAATGTGCTCTGCAAATCTTTTCCGGCTTTATCCTCAGAGGCACGTGTTGATTTGGGAGAAACTTAAACAATTTTTTTTTTTCAGTTTTTTCTTTAAAGGGGTCACGAAACGATTTTTTAACTTTTTCCTTTTTAGCTTTTCTCCTCAACTCACAAATCGCGCATTGTACCAAACAATTCAAGAAGACGGAAAGGAGGGACTTCCCTCGTGCTCGGATTCTCGTTTGTGTACCCGGACACTGACATTCTCCCCCTAGAAGATTAGCCCGTCGCTCAAAACTCAAAGTTGCTCGCCCCACCCCATTCACCCCTAAGCTGACAGTGCTGTGGAAGCTACGTGCTCCTTGGGCAAGCCACACTTTGCCACGTGATCACGCTCCCTCGAGCATAGAGATTGACCTCAGGTGATGAAAGGGAGGTGGCTGATTGGTCCGGCAAGCGCATAGCTTTCACCGCACTGTCAGCTTAAAGGGGCACTGACACATCAAAATCATTTTTTTTTTATTATCCGAAACGATTGAAAACGATGCCGGGACATTACCCTCAAAATTTGAAATTTGGGAATTCAGTATTTGTGAAGTAAAAAAACAATTTCCAAATGCCGAATTCGAAGTTCCCGCGCGATCGGCGCCGGTGCCTTGACGTCAAAAATCGCGGAGACCTGAGAGTCGACTTTCTTTCACCACTCCCTGCTGTTGCCATGGCGACCCAAAGCGAGGAGGAAAGGAGCGGGCGGCGGCGTTCCGGCGGACCGGTTTTGAGCGGTGTCGCCTGTTTTCCGTTGGAGGATACAAATCCAGGAGACGGCACCACAACGAACTCCCGATTTTTTGTATTTCAAAAAGAAGGGCTGTAGTGCGTTCGCAATTGCGTTAAAAAACATGTTTTACGATTGCCGTTATTAAATGTTATAGAGATGTCGCCTACAAAGCTTCTAAATTTCCTGATTTTAGACGTCACCGATCAAAAGAAGCGAGGAGGCGAGAGGCGGGAAAATCAAACGCCAAAAATAAAAAGGCGCGCGCGCGCGCGGGAAAATTTTTTTTCGCGATGCGGTTTTTTTTGCGTGTCTATGACTGCAACTTGCATCGTTTTAGACAATAAAAATAAATACGACCTTTGGGGTGTCAGTGCCCCTTTAAGGGGTGAAGGGAATAAACGAGGTCCCGGTGTTGTGTGACGTGCGTTTGGGCCGGGTGACGCGCTTTGGGTACCGAAGATGTATCACAGAGAGCTTTCGAAGGGGAGAAGGTACGAAATAGTCCGCTGTGTTTTCGAATTTGTGTACCGAAAATTAGCCTTTTGACTTTTTACCTTCTTTCTTTTGGCCTCTAAACGATGTGTTATTAGTAAAATGCCAACCTAAATTCAATTATCCCAGCCCAAAAATCGTTTCATGGGCCCTTTAAGCTGATTTAAAGAAATTGTGTTCCTGACGCATATTCAACTTCTCAAACATATAGAAGTGTCTCGCTGCTTTTATTTGATAAAAAACAATTTTATGGGTCTGTGGGCTAGATGAAAACAAAGTTCACAGAGGCGCGTGGTGTAACTGTGATAATTACGCACGCAGACCGTCAGAAAGTGACCAATTAAGTAGCTGTAATGTCGAGTAGACTATGAAATACTACTTTATTTCATTTAACAAAAAGAAGTAGCAAAGGTGATGCTTATTTGCAAATTGAATTGACCGGCATCTTGGTAAGAACAAACCTCAAGCGCAAAGCTATGTCGAATATGTTCGCTACGGTACACTCTATTTTAGGCCATATGTGATCCGGATACGAAGGTCAGATCTTTTCTGCATGATTCTTCGCCTGCATCACGGTGCTGAGTGTAAACGATATTGGTCAGGAAAGCAAGCGTTGTGCTTGCCACTCAGTGTTTCTATAAAAGGTAGACTGAAAGGGGTTGTCCTAAAACGTTCCTGAGATTTTGAAAATTTTTTTGCTTTTAGCTCGGTTGCGTCGTCATCATATACAGTATATTGTGAAACAAATTTTATAAACTATAGATTTCGGGATATATATGGCGTGCCCATTTTATGATTTGATGCACTGTAATTAATTTCTAAGTGCAGGGCAACTGCAGGATTCGACTTTTAATACTGCGACGCAAAGTTGTACGAATCACCCATATTTTAGGCGACCCACCTGACTGATAACCTTTAGATTCAGGTAAAATATATGCAACTAGGGTAACAAAATAGATATTGAGTCATATATATTGATCTGGCTTTTCATTAAGTGTTTCATCAAAATTAAATGATGCAAGTTATTATTGGTACCTGAAAATAAAAGTGGATTCTATGAAAGATAAAAAGCTACATAGTTACTCGTTTCACACTTGAAATAGTGCCTATTGCCCAAGGAATGCGGAAAATATATTTTAAATTTAGCGGTTCAAACCGGTTTGAACCGGTATTTTTTGCTGCCCGGAACTGAACCGGAGCTGAACCGAAACCCGTAAACCCGAACCGAACCGATAAAAATTTCGGTTCGACACTCTGGTTTAGTGTGTGCAAAATTTGCGGAATAGAACGCTCATCAGCTTTTTAGAATAAACATCAAGTTTTGCTGTTTTTAGAGCTCCAATGATTGCAAAAATCAATTTACGAATGTTGATGATTTTTGTCAGGTGAGGCAACACTGCCCAATTTAGTCATACCGCAATAGGCCGATAGGCCTATTGCGGAGTGGCAATAGGCAAATAGGCAGGCCACTCGGTGGAGCATTTACCAGCTCTGGTGCCCCACACGTTGAGTAGTTTTGGTGTTTAGTAAATGAAGCGTACACAGTTTGTGGTGAGAGTTTCAAATAGCGGCAAGAAATCAGGCTAGCATAGGCGACTGCGGCTGTGAAGGCAATTAGGGTTAGGCCTCGTTTAGATTTTAGAGGGCTTTGTTCCAATTTTGGCGGGAAATGAGTCATAAAGGCTGGAAGGGTAAGGGGAACCGGTTGGTAGAGAATGAAGGGTGTAAGCGATGGCGCTATTCAGGGGAGACTTTGAGAGCTTAGCTTACGCGGTGCGGGGTAGCTTCACTTGTAGTCTCTTTGAGAATTTTAAGGCCCGTTTTAAGAGTGCTGAAGGAAAGTGGGTAGCCAAGTTTGAAGAGCTAGGGAGAGATCAAGAAAGAGAGGGAGAAGCGGGTTGTGATCGAAACGCAGGTCAAGGAGCTGAACGATGAGCTCAGACAGAAAAAGGAGAAGCTGGCTGAACTCTAAAATTTTGGGGTAGGTTGTAAGAAATTAAAATGAGACTGCGCGGCTGAGTTAGAGAAGTTAAAGAATATGCAAACCGAATCGAAGAAAGAATCTAGAGACGCCAGGGGGGGCCGGCAAGGTCAGCCGGAGGAGGTGAAGGCGATGCAAAGGTCCAATGAAGACAAACATGAAGTAATGAAATGCACCTGGAGGTGAAGCAATCATGCCGAGCTATCGTGACATGAAAAAGAATTGCGACAGAGAAACTCGCGTTCTTCCCGAGAGTTTCTTTTCGTGCTCGCGAAGATGACTGGCTCAAAATGAGCCACACAAATCCACTTTTCGCGAATTGTTGCATCAGACTGTTCATCAAATTCTGGTGTGCTTCGCAGTCCACTCAGCACTCCCATAAATTTGAACATGCATATCAATACGATGAATCCTCCTTGGTTAATGACCACTGAAAGAGAAGCGGAACTTACCGATCGACCGTTAGAAAATGAAAGAACGAAACTTTCGAGTTTAAACTGGAATTGCCACTCTACTTTGCATCACAGTGTCTGCACAAACCTTTGAAAAGCTCAATTACATTTGACCAAGCACAATTTGACCCTATTTTTAGCTCGCAACCAAAACAGCCAAGCGCTGCACGAAGTCCATTAACAAAAGCGCATGCATGAGCAGGAGCCGACACCTCAGCGATGCCCAGATTCCGGTGCGCCGCCGTCCCAGGAATCTTTGTGCGGCCGCTGCCGAGACTACAGCGCCACATGCAACCGAATGCAGCCTCTCAGTGCATTGCGGTGGATGCGTGAACTCGCTCCTGTAGACATCTAGGTTGAACTGTCTGTCAAAGGAGCAATTCCATGCTGTCGGCCACTGGTGGCATTTGCTTGAACAGCCACGCTGTATTCTCCTGGCCCTGTTTCAAATACGTCACAACCCAAGCAGCAAAGATTGGCTGCATGGAACCCACTTTCTCTTCCGTGTTTTTACTTTCTCCGGCCAAGCCTAAGCACCATCTAGGAGAGGGCGGACATGAAGGGACCCAGCGAGTCCACCTTAACATTTCACGAAGTGAAATCCACCACTAATATACAGCTTTGAGAAAAATTTGAAATTGCAATGTGAGGGCATTGAGTTTTGTGGCCAAATTTAAAGCGAGTTACAGGATTTGTGCAACCCAGTACTTCCATTTTAAGTATCAATGCAATGCTGGAGTAAAGCACAGGGCACACAGAATAAAAGGAAAACGTCTAAGGAATCCAAAATTTATCATCCGCATATATTCTGTCGCAGGAAGTTTTCTGTTTCCTCATGCACAAGCAGAAAATAAAAAATAGAGACAAAACAGGAACACAACAAGGTCGTTCCGATTTTCATTGTTTGTAAAAATATGTCAGCTCGATGTCAGACCGGAAGAAGCTTCCATCAGTTTCAGATGACGCCTGATCTCATCCCTCAGGACCGAAGAGACTTTCTTCATGGAGCCGTCGGGGTTTTTATCTGCAAAGGGAAACGGTAAGTTATAGTCATCAATAGGTCAACAGTGAGCACCAATTCCTTCTCCTTTCATAGCTGACAACCTCCAGTTTCGCACTTTATAATGCCAAACCCAATCTGTGGATGCACACTCCACACATTGGCAATGTTGAGAGCTGCAGGCCCAGTGGCAACTATCTTTGTCTCAATGGTACAGCTAGTGATGTCTCGGTAACATTATGGTCTCTGGCATGCATCTCAGACTGGTATGTTTAGTGGCCTATTCCACCCATGCACCAAGAGTGGTCCCGAAGTGGCAACAAATAACGTCACGGAATACGGAGTGTCGTGCTGTCAAACGACGCAATCCTGGCAGCTGGCCGTAGAACCTTTGACAAGAAGCACGAGCGAATGCAAGTGTCGCCCAAGTCGCAGCGCCCCAACTACTGCCTGCCGAAGCTTTCGTGTACTGTCGAGCTGGGGAGTGACCTGCAGCAGAACATGGCCTGCCACATCCACCATACCTGCTGCGACGCCACCAGGGTCGCGGCCGGCTACAGCGTGACACTTCCACGATGTCACCGGACGGAAATTGAGAGGTCACTTTTTTGGATGCGGTAAACAGACCAGTCAGAGACGCATTGCAGGCAATATATAGTTAATATGGAACACCTCTGTTCCCACCAAAAAATTCTCCATTACATGAAATGAGTTGTCTATAATGACGAATAAAAATGCATGTATTTCCCTAGTTCGTCCCCCAAGACATAGTCTCTATAGTGGGCTATTCATACTAAACGGGATCCATATTAGCGAGACACAACTGTAACGAGAAAATATTGGAACAGAGCAACTATTGGTATGGGGAACTGATCATTCTAAGACTACAGATTTTTTAGAGCGCAGCTCTTAGGGGCCCTTTCCCGGCTTGAGCGGCGTCGCCGTCGCCGTCGGCGTAACCAAGGTCATCCCAAGGTCACTTGACCCCCAAGGTCATCCCAAGGTCACGTGGCCCCAAGGTCACGTGACCCCTCCCCAAGGGTCACGTGACTCCCAAGGTCACGTGACTCCCCAAGGTCACGTGACCCCAAGGTCACGTGACACCGAGTCACGTGACCCCCGGGGTCACGTGACCCCCGATGACGTCATCAGTGACGTCACTGATGACGTCACCGGCATCCGCATCGTCAGCGTCATCATGAATGATGACGTCATCAGTGACGTCACCGGCATCCGCATCGTCATCGTCATCATCACTGATGACGTCACTGGCATCCGCATCGTCATCGTCATCATCACCATCCGCATCATCATCGTCATCATCGCTGATGACGTCATCAGTGACGTCACTGATGACGTCATCGGCATCCGCATCGTCATCGTCATCATCACTGATGACGTCATCAGAGACGTCACTGATGACGTCACCGGCATCGTCATCATCACTGATGACGTCACCGGCATCCACATCGTCATCGTCATCATGACCATCCACATCGTCATTGTCATCATCGCTGATGACGTCATCAGTGACGTCACTGATGACGTCACCGGCATCCGCATCGTCAGCGTCATCATCACAGATGACGTCACCGGCATCCGCATCGTCATCATCACTGATGACGTCACCGGCATCCGCATCGTCATTGTCATCATCCCTGATGACGTCATCAGTGACGTCACTGATGACGTCACCGGCATCCGCATCGTCATCGTCATCATCGCTAATGACGTCATCAGTGACGTCACTGATGACGTCACCGGCATCAGCATCGTCATCGTCATCATCACTGATGACGTCACCGGCATCGTCATTGTCATCATCACTGATGACGTCATCAGTGACGTCACTGATGACGTCATCGGTATCCGCATCGTCATCGTTACTGATGACGTCATCGGCATCGTCATCGTCACGTGACCCCCCTAGGTCATGTGGCCCCCTCCCAAGGTCACTTGACCCCCCCCCCCCCCAGTACCCTTCCCTCCTCCTCCTCAAGAGCTGCGCTCTAATTCGGCGTTACAGGGAGTTGTAAACGGCTTTCACTTTTTTACTCTTCTTAAAACTGGTTATGTCCCATATGTGCCGCCAATAACTAGCCTGAAAAAATTATGGACATGACACCCCCCCCCCCCATTTGTAATCCACTTTGATGCTTTTCACCACTAAAATAGAGAAGAAATCCTTGTCAAAATCAATTTAAACTTTCAGCATTGTTTGTCTCCCTCTACTTGAATATAGAAGGCCACTGGTCCATAAATCTGGTTTGAAAAAAAGCAATGTACCATCCCCAGAAGCAATAACAAACCATTTGCACTGACAGTGCAACTGATGAACTATTTTCTGTCAAGTTTGCATTATTGACATTTATATTTTGTATTGATAAATTTTTTCATGTCCTTTCTAAAATGTTCCCTGGGCTTTGGAGTCACTGAAAAGACAATGAAACTGCGTAAATAATTGACAGTTCATTGTTTTCACTTCAATAAGCTATTCCAAAGGTCCTCAAATTTTTAACTTGAGGAACATCAAAGGTGGGAGGCCCCTTCTCCCCTTTTTTTAAATAAATGAGGCACTGCAAGAGCTTATGGACAACGTTACCATTAAGTAAACTTAATGTGCACACAAGGTGACTGTTTGTATACCTGCTCTGCATCAACGCATGACCCAGATACACGAAAAAATTGCCCAAACTGGGAAAACAATAGACTGGGGGTTGTGAAAAAGGTTGAGAATTAGGATGTCCATCGAAACACGAGGGAAACTCTGGGGAAGTCCTGGGTCCTTAGAAATCTAGCCATGTAAAACCCTGCAGATTGCATCACTGTGGTCATTTCCCTGTGATAAACTTTCATTAACCTAGGCCACTTCCTTAAACACAAAGCATTTATGGGGCCAGCTCTTAGGTATCCATGTCCACAGGTGTAGACTAAATGATGTATCATGTGATCCCAAAGCCTCGATGGTAATGTCATCAGCGATAAGAGCAGCGACATGCGCTCATAGTTATGTTGCGTCCTCATGACCTGATGTCAATATGGCGACATGGTGCCACCTGACATCACATGCCAGTGACACTGATGTCGTAGTGTCACATCATTATGTCACCTGATGTTGCGTGACACTCTGACGCCATGTGGCATAGTGACGTCAAGTAACGCAGTGATGTAATGGTGAAGATTAAAGCGCACAAGAAACAATGAAAACAGGGAAAGAACACACTACAGAGTAGCGCTTTCTCGCAACTGATTGATTTATTGTGACTTAGTAGATAAACAAAAACACACAAAAAAGATAACACTCCTGCGGATCGCCCGTGTGCACCCATTTCAATAAAAAAAAAGTGAAAAAAAAAAAAAAAATTGAAAACATATTTGTCAACAACGCACATCTAAACCACAGGGGACATGGCAGATTCAAGATAAAACATCTGTCTCATTCAGAGCAATGGAGGGATGGCTAATGCAGTTGTTTTAATTTCAAAAACCTCCAAAACTTCTCTGGCCCTCTACTCTTTTAACGCACCCAAGATCTTGGTGCAATCAAGCAGAGGGGAGCGGTCGCACCTTCCGCAATGGACGGCCAGATGGCCCCAAGGCGTTAACGTAAGGAGGCCTGTGCTCACGAAGTCTGTGATTGACACATCTTCCAGTCTGCCCCACGTACACCTTTGCGCAGGACAGCGGGATACAGCACGGCAATTGATGTACCGGTTCAAAAGCTTGGTTACACCGAAAAATTATATTTTTTCTTTTGCTACACGAACCCTTGTACATAACTGTACCAATTTGTTGGGCACCTTAAAAGCCACCTGTATGTCATACTGCTTTGCCACGTGTTTTATGTTGCCTGAAATCCCATAAAGATGAGGTATGAAAACAGGCCTGAGTGGTCCCTGTTGTGCCATCCAATCTGCCGTTCCCCCAACCCCTTTAGGAAGAGTCTCAAAACCTCTTCGAGTACCCTTGACGGGAAACCTGCATCTTGTAATTTTTTAACTTCGCCGTTAAAACTTTCCTTCACTGCATGAAAGCAAGACTTGCTGAGAGCCGATGCAAAGCTGGACCTTGCGATTCCTCTCTTCACCAACTTCGAGTGGGCTGAGTCGTACGGAAGCAGACCTTTCGAAGATTGCGGGCTGAAAGACCAGCATACATGGTCCCTTACCAATTGAAAGGACAAATCTAGAATAAACAACTGAAGTTTAGATTTCAGGTATTATCTGAGGGTTGCATACAATTTTTAGACTTGTCCCTCCAATTAATAAGGGAGCATGTATGCTGGTCTTTCAGCCCGCATTCTTCGAAGAGTCTACTTCTGTACAACTTAGCCCACTCGAAGTTGGTGAAAAGTGGAATTGCGAGGTCCAGCTATGGGGACCGGTTCTCGGCAAGTCTTGCTTTCAAGCAGTGAAAAGAAGTTTTAACGGCCAAGTTAAGAAAGTACAAGACACAGGTTTCCCGTCAAGGGTGCTCAAAGCCCTGTTGCTCAGACCTGTTGTCATGCCTTATTTTCATGGGATTCCCTCTATTGCTCTGAATGAGACCACAATTTTTTATAATCTTGAATCTGCCCTGTCTTGCATGTTTTGGATGTGCCTTGTTGACAAATGTGTTTTCAAGATTTGTTTACTCTCTTTCTTTGTTTTATTGCAGTGGTGCGCACCAGCAATCTGCGCGAGCATTCTCTTTTTTGTGTTTTCTTTATCCACTATGTCACAATAAATCAATCAGTAGCAAGGAAGCGCTACTCTGTGGTGTTAGCCCCTTCCCTGTTGTCATCATTTCTTGTGTGCTTTAATCTTCAACATGAATCACTACCCAATTGGCCCAACTTTCCACCCTATGGAATCATGTGACACCAAGAGATCACAATGTCACATGCCACCTGGCATGCCAGAAAAGCAGCCACACAGTGAGAGCACTGCGTAAGATATATATATATATATATATATATATATATATATATATATATATATATATATATATATATATATATATATATATATATATATATATATAGG